TTTCACCTATTTTGACAGAATATTCCTAACTCTGTTAGGGTTTCTGTCAATGTGCCGTGGATGTGCATATGCGTGGCCGGCGCATAAGGGCTCTTCTGGTGTCCAAAAATATTTCTGAAAATTTATGTGGGTTCGTATCGTCGAGTAGATCACGTTCATATATTCAAACCTTTCATTTGAGCAAGCTATAAGAAGTTAATCCTAGATTTTGTATATGTGCTAATTAATTAATGTAAAAATAGTTGTATCGCATATAGGTGAGACGTACCCCAAGGACAAGCGTGGACAAGCCAAATTAAGGGGCTATGATCCTGCTACTTATAAGTGAGTAGGCATTTGTTTTCAATATATATATATATATATATATATATATATATATATATATATATATATATATATATACGTATATGCTTTACAGTTTCTAGAAAGCGTTTTAAAATGAATTATGCCTTGAGTGCCATGTCAAGTATGCATGATATGTATACACATTGCATTGTTATGAATTCAATTACATTGAATGATGTTGTGGAGGCCTAGGTAAGCTCCAAGTGAGTTAGTATATGGTTTAGTTGGTTGCCTTACATTGGTATGCATAAATGCCTTTAGAGCTTATCATTGATGCACCCCGGTGTTAGTGCTCTTGCCCTGGCCAGGGCACAGTCCTTCACGTTATTGTTCACCTCCCACACCGCACTCTCACCTTGGATCCAAGTCTGGTGTCAGCCTGTCGTACAGACCATAATAGGTGGTTCCGACTCATAGGTGACCACGATTTATCGCACAGCCTTCACGTGATCATAACGCTTGAGCGTACATATTTACACCTAGCCTTGTCGTACAAGTCACATTAGGTGACTCCGATTCATGTGCTAGCCTAGGTTGATGAGCTATAGGTCTAGTTGTACAAGTCAAGTTAGGTGACTCCGACTGACATGTTATTTTATATTGATTCTACACCTGGCTTACATGTTTTAGTGCTGAAATGTTATGACATGGCATATTTTGGTTTTCACTGCCCTTGTGCATTCATTTTACTACTTACGTAGTATTGTTATTTTTCTGGGAACTATACAGGTTTTACAGTTAGGGATTATTATGTTTGAAAAAATAACTATGTTTTCGAAAGCTTTGTTTTTGCCCACTCACCCTTCTGTTTTGCGCCCCTCCAGGTCCTAGGCAGCTGTTCGTATCTGTGGCTCACGAGGACTATCTGGCGGTTCTGACGTTTCCATAAATAAATGTAGGGATCTTCTCCCTGTTTGTATAATTAGTACTTGTTCAGTTTGACTGCACTGTTGGATTGCCTATGCTATGAATACTTGTATTTGGTTTTTGGTCACTTCCACGCACTTATATATATATTATTTGTAGTTTAAATAAGTTTAGGTTTGTTTTTTTATTTATTTATTCACATATTCTTGTTACTATCACTTCTGTTGCGCACTAGGCTACATCACCCTCATGTGACGGCCAGTATGCCTCGACTCAGGTCGAGGTATTTCAATTTGAAAGGGGGTGATGTGCCTTATATGTACATACTCCCCTCCCTATAGCATGAGGTTTTTTGGGAACTCACTGGCTTTGGATTCCATCAGAACTTTGAAGTTAAGCGAGTTCGGGCGAGAGTATTCCTAGGATGAGTGACCCACTGGGTAGTTCTCATGTGAGTTCCCAGAAACAAAACCATGAGGGTGTGGCTGGGGCCCAAAGTGGACAATATCATGCTACGGCGGAGCCGAGACTGGGATGTGAAAGGCACAATTTAAAAAAAAATGTTACAAATTAAAATGGGTACAAACTAAATATAAATATATCAAATGTAACGTTTCTAAACACTAAATGAATAATTTAGAAATAAAATTTAATTATCTTGATATGTAAAATATTTTATTATTGAAATAATTAATGATGTTTATTAAAACCAGGGGACCTTGATTAAAAATTGAAAAGAAATAAGATTTCAATCAATGGAGTTGAAAAAAGAGGGATGAGAACCTAATTTTCATTTTGGTTCCAGTCTGTAATCAACCTAATTGTTAGACTGAAACCTTGTTAAGATCAAGGTTCTTAACATCATTAAGAGATTTAACTCATGCATTTATGCATTTAATGTTCCACAAACCATGAAATTTAAACAAATTCAAATAATATTTTTAAAATATAATAAATACTTAAAAATAAATATTAGAGTAATATTGTTCTTCCCAAAATTATAGCAAGAAATAATGTACCCACAAAATTACTAACATATTTTAAAAAATAACTACTGATACATTTTAAAACATAAAATAAATACATATAATTAGCATGGATACATTTAGCAAAATTTAAAAAGTGTACAAATAAATTAAAAAATATGGGCACAAAGAAAGTAATATACGTGTACAAATTAAAATAGAAAAGAAAATTGGTACAAATTGAAAAAGGGTTGCAAATTAAAAATGGGTACAAACTAAAAATAAAAATATATGATAAAAAATTTATCCATAAATATAAATATACCAAATGTAACATTTTTAACACTAAATGAGTATAGGTAGAAATAAAAAATATTTTATTATTATTGAAGTAATTAATGACGTTTATTAATACCTAAGGACCTTGATAAAAAATTAAAAATAAATAAGATTTTAATCAATGAAGTAGTAAAAAGAGGGATAAGAACCTAATTTCTCCTATTATTAATCTAAATACCAGGGTAGTGATTAACCCATTTGGTACAAATTTATTCCCATTTGGTATAAATTATTCTTTTAGACTACGTGCAAATAAGTTAATTAATAGCCTTGCCACTCTAGTTCTTCATGGGCTTCTCGAAGAGAGAATAGTTCTTCATGGGCTTCTCGAAGAGAGACTATACGTCAAAGTAGTCTGTCTTTGACCTAACGTGATTTTATTTTGTGGTTGCTGGTGGATCCAGCGGTGAACAAGACGAAAACTTCGCGTGCATTGGAGTCTTCAAATTATAGAATTATTTCAATTTATTTCAAATTATAGGGATTATCTTTTACATAGGTACAATTATTATTTCTTATATTCTCTTCTGAGCAACACAAGACAAATGAAGCAATATAATAACGCATATCGAGTCAAATAAGGCGTGTCTCTATGTACCATGGATGAATATCGAGAATAAGAAATAAAATTTCAGTCAGATAATGAAATTAAATAATGATCACATTAATTAAAAAATAGTGAAGTTATATTTCTTACTTCACTCTCACCTCAAGCTCAATAAACATGACACAATTCGAGCATTTTCTAGTAATTTCTCAACTCCTAGAAAAATGGAAAGAATTTTATACAGATATTCCAAATCAAAAAGGAAAATTACAAGGCTTGCACGTTGCGATATAAAAACAAACATTATATAGCAAAACTTTCTTTTTCTTATTTATTTTTCTTATTCTATTGGGAAAAACATTCCGAAAATCTGCTAATTGACAACTGAAATTATGATCGGTTCTCATGTCAATTATTATGATTTGCTATGCTGTCTCGTAGATCACATGGCTAGATACTATCTGGGAATGTGATGACAAAGTCTTACATCGGTGATGGATTAAATCATGCAAGGACTTATAAGAAATTGTGTTATGTCATTTGGTTTTATAGTGGAATTTCAATTTTTTTCACACGTCCATCGTACTTAAGGTCCTAAAAGGCGTTAAGCATCTAGGTGTGGCCTAGGCGGTTTTTTTATTTTAATTGAATTTATTATATAATATATAAATAAATTTCTATTTATACTTGAAAAATGTGTAATTGTAGTGATATAAATTACAAAATAGAATGACATATAGATTATAAAGTATTAGAATATACTAAAATATGGGGAACAAACATATAAAAAGTGTTCATCCAAGTATTCAACAAGTCTCTTACAATTTAATGAAAAAAAAATGCAAAATGAAAGTTATCTATTTTATGTATAAATGAGAGTCGCAACCTAGGCGTGTTAGATAGATTAGGTTGGCTCCTAGGCAGGTCTAGGTGTCATTTCTTCATTTTGAAACGCATAAGATTTAATCAGAGCAGTAGCCTGCTACTTAGCACCTAGACAGGGCTTAGGTGGGAATTTTTAGAATAGTAACTATACTAATGTGAATTGCAATTGTAATGCTCCAAAATTTTCTTCATAAGACAAGTAGTAGAAACATTTATACATAATTACATTTAGAAGAAAACACAAGTGATCTCCATTTATTTTGAAACGATTTTCATACATTCATCTTTCCCTTTTGTACCACTGTTAATTTTTTTTATATAGAAAATTTTATATTCATTATATAGAAAAGTTGATTTTATGTTAAATTCTAAATTAGAGAAAAGGATTCGAACTTGAGTATAGAGAAATGAACAGTGTTGTAGCCAACTTGATTAAGCATTCAATTCTAAATTTTAAACATTGATATATAAATAAAAAGGAGTTCAAAAATCAAATCTCTCCCATTTTTATCATTTATTTAAAATAATAATAATAATAATAATACAAGGAGGTGCATCGAACCGAGGACGTACCCCACCCCTTACCTAGCTACGCCCTAACAATTAGGCTCTCTCTCTCTCTCTCTCTCTCTCTTAAAAAAACGATATTATCTATGCTAAGAGGGTGGGGAGTATGCTAAGCCTCACAATGGGTCAGCCATAATATTGTGGTTCAAATTTGTCTTTGATAAAAATCCAATCTAAGACCACTTACAAGTGAAGAAGAAGATCACTAGACTATAGTATTAAGTGACAGTTCTCTCTTTTTTATATACAAGTGATATTTTAAATTATTCTAATCAATGTGAGATAGTTTGAACTCAGATGCAATCGACTGAGCACCCTAATTTAACTAATTGGCTTAACCCAGAATAGCTGATTATAATATGATTTGATAAGCACAGTTGAAGTTACCATCCAACATGGTTCACTTATAAATAAACTTCTTCGCTTTGTCAGAATTCACTCCACAAGGCATCCTCACCTGTCTAACTATTGTGCTCCCTGACTGTCTTCTTTTTCCTGCAGCTCCCAATATTTTGTTCCTTGATAGCAATAATATGGTATCTTCAAACCATGAGAACGCTGCAGGATCCCTAGCCTTTCCCAAAAGACTATGGGGTAAAATAGTTGGATTTGCCCTGAGGCTAAAGAACTTAGGCAAAGAGGATCCAAGAAGGATCATTCATTGTTTTAAAGTGGGACTAGCTCTAACTTTTGTGTCACTCTTCTACTACTTTAAACCACTCTATGACGGCTTTGGCCTTGATGCAATGTGGGCTATTTTAACTGTTGTGGTTGTGTTTGAATTTTCTGTTGGTAAGCAACTTCTGTAAGCTCTCATAATTTAAGTCTTAACGAATAGATTTGATTGTAATTTCTAATATTTGATAATTATGCTATGAAACAATTTCAGGAGCAACACTAGGAAAAGGTTTGAACAGAATGTTGGCAACTTTAACAGCTGGTGCTCTTGGCATTGGGGCTCATCGCTTAGCAACTCTTTCTGGGGAGACTGGGGAGCCTATACTAATTGCTCTCTTTGTTTTTATAATAGGTATAATATAATACTATTAGAAACAATAATTAGAAAATTGATTATTGTACTAATTATGTGTATTTATGATATAAATCAACTAATTATATCGTCTTATAATTTCTTTGCAGCTGGAATAGTAACATTCCTGAGATTCATTCCCCAACTTAAGGCGAGGTATGATTATGGGTTGATGGTATTTATATTGACATTCTGCTTGATTTCGGTGTCTGGTTATCGGGATGAAGAGGTTATACGAATGGGATTCGAGAGGCTATCGACAATTGTCCTTGGAAGCTGTGCTGCTGTATTTGTATGCACTTTCATATGTCCGGTATGGATTGGGGTGGATCTTCACAATCACATTGCTACCAACATCGAAAAGCTTGGGAATTTCTTGGAAGGTACATATACTAAAATATAACAGTGGTTTTATGCTGCCTATATGAAGACTAATATTCAAAGTTAGATATAACATTCATCAATGCCTGCAAAGGTTATGATAGGTGATTCAACTGCAGAAAAAATATCATTTGCACTTGGAACCTACTAAAGTAACAAAAGGAATCTAACCTTAAATAACCTTAGCAGAACATATATTTTTCCCCTTTTTATAGGAAAATCTTGTGCATCCTACTATAAGGAAAATACATTTATGAGACACGAGCACAGTTAGATTAGTATTTGCCTCTATCTTACGTTGTTTGATTTTTCTTTTCGTTATTACTATCAGGAACCATCAAAACTTAGCCAGTTAAGACTAATTATTTTCAGGATTTGAAGACGGATACTTTAAAATATCTGAGGAAGGACAGCCTATAAACAAGTCATCATCTCTTCAGGGATATAAAAGTGTTTTAACTTCAAGTAGCAAGGAAGAAATCATGGTGAGAATTATATACCTTTCTCATCCTCTATAACTTTCTCACCAAGACTTTTATGTTTGAATTCCACTCTGAATTATTTAACTTTTATTGTCCAGGCCAATTTGGCAAAATGGGAACCCTGCCACGGCAAGTTCAGATTTCGTCATCCATGGAATGAGTACTTGAAAGTTGGGAGCGTAACTCGCCAGTGCGCTTTCAAAATTGAATCTCTCAACCACTACCTTACCTCTGAGATCCAAGTATGATTATGAAACCCTTTCACCAATTTATGTCTAAATGTTATATATGCATTTCAATACCAATTTAGTAGGTCTATTATAACTTGCGTTTTGGTAATCTTACAGTCACCACCAGAAGTTCGAAGTATAATTCAAGGGGAATGCACAGTTATTAGCTCAGAATGTGGGAAAGCATTGAAGGAACTAGCATCTGGAGTCCGAAAAATGACTAAATCATCAGCAGCAGAACCTCACATTACGAACTCAAAAGCTGCTGCTGAAAACCTCAAAGCTGTAATCAGATCTAGCTTGTCTAAACACTGCGATTACCTAGAGATACTACAAGCAGGAGCAGTAGCTTCTCTACTGTTTGAAGTTGTCAAATGTACAGAGGAAATTGCTGGTGCTGTTCATAAACTAGCATCCCTAGCACACTTTAAGAATGCTAAGCCTAGAGTGACCCCAGAGACGCAAGAATTACCTTCGCAGGGAGCGGTAAATCCAGTATCAGGCATCGATGGGGCACATCATGTTATAACGATAAATCCATCTCAAAGTTTACGTGAAAGTGAGAACTCGTCCCCACCAGTACTGGCTCCAAGAATGGAAGTGTAGACTTTGGAAATGAGTAGTTTTTAGTTCTCTGTCAATAAATGAAGTGATAGATGTGCTTGTAATCGTCATATGTTTTTTTTTTCTCCCTGTTAGACGTTCGCATATATACTGTTAGGGAGTTCATGTGTTGCTTTTTCCCTAGAGCTTCGACTTGAAGCTCAGAGGTTTGAAGCAGTTTATATTTGTGCTTTCTGCAAATAATGAATTGCCTTGCTCAATTCAAATTATTCTGGATTTGAGGTAAACCGGAATTAGTTTAGTGTATAAACATGATTAGATAGTTTGATCACCTTTGATTCATTTAGACATGGTTTTAAGAAACAAATTTACGGACTAACCTGAGATTCATGAAATAATTCGTACAGTAATGCTACAAGTTGCTCTATCAGAAATACAATTAAGAACAAAATCAAGATTAAACACGAACCCACAAAAAACCAGTATTCAACGCTGTTGACCTGCACAAAGTAAACATGCTTTTCGTGGTTGCCGAAGGAAGACTGATTTAAAACTTGAAGTCTCTAGATCGTCACGAGTTAGTTGGTCTTCCTACTAGAATTAACTTTTAGTATAAAGCATGTTTCTCGCAAAACAAACCTATCTTGTTTTATTTATTTAGGCATGGGACAAAAATTTAAGTGTGATATTAATAATATAGAAATCAAACTCTTATAGTGACTAATAAATTATTTTGGTCATTCCATGAAAAATTTTTACGAAATGATCAAAACGATTTACAATGGACAAACTTAAAAAGCTTTCTATTTATTTTCATTGTCAATAACCTAAATAAGAAGTTATCCAATATCAAATATTATTTTGGCCGAAAGCCGTAAAAATATTTCGAGTCCTACGATTGAGAATTTCGAAATTAAACATTCTTTTAAAGCCCATACCTAGTCAAGAAGCATATTGCTGAAATTTGACCTTTGGTGACTCATTAATCCTCGTACCGTCTGTATGAGAAAACAATATTCAATCTTGAGCTCTGCGTTATTTAATTCCTTTTCTTGGCCTTGTTGCTCAAGACCAAGAGCTCCCATACAAACTCCATCTTAATAGCACAAACGATATTTGAGGAATCCAACTCAAAAACTCCAATAAAAAAGTGAACGCTCTTAATTAACTAAAATACAATGCATACATTCTTTTTTTTTTAGAAAGTTTTAACGAAAAATCTACGGTACTGTTCACTTTAACGAAAATCCACATTTTTATACTAAAAAGTCAAACCTGGTACTATTCAATTTACTCATTGTTTTGTCCTTATCGTTAAAACTCAAAGTTTTTAAATCATTTTCATTATTTTTTTTTTTAAGCAAACAAATTGGGAGACCTACCCAAATTTTTTTAAGCAAACAAATTGTGACTCATTTGAGTCATTTCTTATGAATAATTTAAATTTGGGAGACCTACCCAAATTTTGCCATGTTCTAAACATCTTGAATGTAGATAACTTATTTTCTAAAGCACTGCTAGTTAGGCCTGGCAAACGGGTCGTGTCTGTCATGTTCGTGTCGTTTTCGTGTAACACATGTTATCCTAACGGGTCGTATCGTGTCGCACTCGTTATGACCCATTATGAAAAATATATTTTTCTTCTTAAATTTGCACATACCACACATTGCCACATAAATATTACTTCAAAACATTAAAACACATTTGTCGTTTAAGTACTACATCTACACTCGAAAATAAGAGCCTAACAAACAAACATTCATACACTACTAGTCTATTATAAAATATTAAATGTGCAAGGATATGAAGCCTTTCAAGGTTGTGAAGCATTTCTCAAAAGTTTAAACCTTACCAATGGAACTCAAAGTTTGCATGTTATTTCTTTTACAAAATCCTTAATTTTCATCGATCATCATGACATAAGATTTTGCGGTATTCACTAGTGTGAATATTTTAAATTGAAGATCGAATTCATTCATTGTATTCACGGAGGGTCAAGGACTGTAGCTGTAAAAAATCATCAAAATCGGAGTTAAAATAACCGTTAAATCGTGATTTTTCATTGATAACCGTCAAAAAGTTTTATCCCGTTACTTCATCTCTGAATGTTTGTTTTTTACAATTATGGGATCTCAAAGTATATACAAACATGTTTGACGGTTGGATCGTTGAAACTAGTTTCATAGAATGTGTATTCCATCTAAACAATAGATTCACTAATAATACTTAAGAGTTTATTCATACTTTCATTAAGTATAACATAAGATTTTGTGGTATCTATTAGTGTAAATATTTTAAATTGAAGATCGAGTTCATTCATTGTATTCATATAGGGTCAAGGAGTATAGTTATAAAAAAATGATCAAAATCAGAGTTAAAATAACCATTAAATCGTGATTTTTAACCATCGAAAAATTTTGTCTTGTTACTTGATCACTAAATGTTTGTTTTTTTTCAATTTTTAGCGTATGCGATCTCGAAGCATATACAAACAAGTTTGATGGTTGGATTGTTCAAATTAGTTTCGTAGAACACGTATCCCATCAAAACGATAGATTCACTAACACTTAAGAGTTTATTCATACTTTCATTATGTATAACATAAGATTTTGTGGTATACACTAGTGGAAATATTTTAAATTGAAGATCAAGTTCATTCGTTGTATTCATATAGGGTCAAGGAGTGTAGCTATAAAAAAACATCAAAATCGGAGTTAAAATAACCGTTAAATCGTGATTTTTCGTTGATAACCGTCGAAAAGTTTTGTCCCATTACTTGATCTCTGAATGTTTGTTTTTTGCGATTTTTTGTTGATGCGATCTCGAAACATCAAAATCTGAGTTAAAATAACCGTTAAATCGTGATTTTTCGTTGATAACCGTCGAAAAGTTTTGTCCCGTTACTTGATCTCTGAATGTTTATTTTTTGCGATTTTTTGTTGATGGGATCTCGAAGCATATACAAACAAGTTTGACGGTTGGATCGTTGAAATTAGTTTTGTAGAATTCGTATCCCATCAAGTTCAATGGTGTATGTATATATACATATATATATATATATTTATTAAGTAGATTTAAATTTATTTATTTTGTACGTATAATACTTAAGAAATTGAATGGTATGTATATTTAAGCCGATCCTGTCACATCCCGGCCCGGGGCGGATCACTTCTTGGGCCCACTCCACCACCGTAGCACGATATTGCCCGCTTTGGGCTTACCATTCCCTCACGGTTTTGTTTTTAGGAACTCACGAGCAACTTCCCAGTGGGTCACCCATCATGGGATTGCTCTAGCCCCCTTCTCGCTTAACTTCGAAGTTCCTACAGAACCCGAAGCTAGTGAGCCCAGAAAGCCTCGTGCTAGGTAAGGATGAGAATATACATATAAGGATCACTCCCCTGGGCGATGTGGGATGTCACAATCCACCCCCCTTAGGGGCCCGACGTCCTCGTCAACACACACGTGACCAGGGTTAGGCTTTGATATCAATTTTCACATCCCGGCTCGTGGCGGATCACTTCCTGGGCCCGCTCCACCACCGTAGCACAATATTGTCCGTTTTGGGCTTACCATTCCCTCACAGTTTTGTTTTTTGGAACTTACGAGCAACTTCCCAGTGGGTCACCCATCATGGGATTGCTCTAGTCCCCTTCTCGCTTAACTTCGGAGTTCCTACAGAACCTGAAGCTAGTGAGCTCCCAGAAGGCCTCGTGCTAGGTAAGGATGAGAATATACATATAAGGATCACTCCCCTGGACGATGTGGGATGTCACAATCCACCCCTCATAGGGGCCTGACGTCCTCATCGGCACACACACCACCAGGGTTAGGCTCTGATACCAATTTTCACATCCCGGCCTGGGGTGGATCATTTCCCCGGCCCGCTCCACCACCGTAGCACGATATTGTCCGCTTTGGGCTTACCATTCCCTCACGGTTTTGTTTTTGGGGACTCACGAGCAACTTCCCAGTGGGTCACCCATCATGGGATTGCTCTAACCCCCTTCTCGCTTAACTTCGGAGTTCCTACAGAACCCAAAGCCAGTGAACTCCCAAAAGGCCTCGTGCTAGGTAAGGATGAGAATATACATATAAGGATCACTCCCCTAGGTGATGTGGGATGTCACAGATCCAATGGTCACCAATTTTTAATATTTAATTTAATATATATATATAATTATTATAGTTTTTAGGGGTATAAAATTGTTAAATTAATATATATATATATAATTATTATAGTATTTTTTTAGGGTATAGTGTTACCTACGTGTATACCCGAACCAAGCCATTATCTTAAAAGGTGCTTAACGGGTTACCCGATAACGACCCGATTCATTATTGTGTCGACCCGAATACCTGTTAATTTCGTGTCGTGTTGTTCCAGGTTATCGGGTCGTGTCAGGAATTGCCAGGTCTATTGCTAATATCCAAATTTTGGGGAATAAAATTTAGGGTCCTTTTGGTTCCGGTCCCTAATTAACCTAATTGTTACAATGTAATCTTATTTGTTTAAATAGTCTGATCAAGGTACCTAGCATCATTTAAGGAATTTAAGTCATGGATTTATGCATTCAATATCCCACAAATTATGAAATTTAAAAAAATCCAAATAATATTGTTACAAACTTAAAAATCAATAATAGAGTAATTTGTTCTTTATATAGTTCTAACAAAAAAAAAAAAAAAAATTGTACCCACGTAATTATTAATATAGTGCAAGAAATAACTATTGATATATTTTAAAACATAAAATAAACCCATATAATTAGCATGGGTATGTTCATAAAAAAACTATTGGTACAAATTAAATTAAATGTATAGGTACACATTAAAATTCAAAACTATGGGTGCAAATTAAATTGAAAATATGGGCACATATTAAATTTCAAAATTATGGATACAAATTAAAACTAAAAAGAATATTGGTATAAATTAAAAAAAAAGATACAAATTATAAATAGAAATATATGAAAAAAAAATACTAAAAAGATTATATTTGAATATGAGTAATGCTTTTTTCTAAATTGACATATAAAGACCTGTAACTAATTTAATATTCAAATAATGACATGAAAAAAAGTCAAGAGACCTTGATCAAAAATGAAAAAAGAATAG